TGTGATTTTAAACTACTTTAGAAGATAAATTATTATTTATTTGTTTATAATTTATTTCATCATCTTTAGATAGAGGAAATTCAGTAGATTTAAAAATATGATCATCTTCATAAGATTTATTAATAAGATAATATTTATAGCATCCACATATGATAACTAAGAAAATAATAAATCCTACAATAGAAAAGGAAATCTAGCAATAATCACTACAACTTCTATAACTATTAGAATTATAATACCAAAATACCTATTGAGAAGAAGAAGTATAATAAACCCTCTTTAAGAGTTAGCCTGAATACATTTTAATGATTAAGATATTCAGTATAAACACCAAAGAGATATGCTATTGCGAAAATAGATATGAGACCAAGAATAGGTATTCATTATGATTTGATTAATGTAAAGAAAGATTCTCAGAATCTTATATTTTTTATTAAAATAGATTAACTGTTTTAATGTAGACAATAATGCAAAACATTACAAGTATAATTCCAACAACTATTGTATAATTCTCTGAAGAAAAAAATGACTTGTTTATATAACTTTATTGTGTAAAAGATAAACATATATTAATAAAATATTTGAATAGACAAAACACTTCATGTTAATTGTACATTGCATATAAAATAGTAAAAAATCAAATTACAAACTAAGAATAAAAATATGAAACTTCTATGAAAATTATTCAACATTGATTAATAACCTTGATACCTTGATATGTCTAATGTAAAGTTCATTCTTAGCGTGAATAAAATAGATGTATAATCTATTCACTCTATTTTTTTTTGTCATGCTATCTTCTGTTTATTTGTCTATTAACTTTTATAGTTAGTTTATTTGTATAGATTAGAGGTATTTTTTCTTATCACATTATTCTAAGTATCATTAGAATCATAATCAACTAATATAATGCAGGAGTATTTTATCAATCTAAGCAACTCTATATATTTATCTAGTTGGTTATTTGAAATATCTATCTCTCTATTGACATTATCAATGATTCATAATTAGTTATTATACTTTATTTCTAAATCACTATATTTACTTTTTATATCTTCATATTATTCTGTTAAATTTTTATTTACTATAAATTGTAGCAGTATAATTAATATTGTAATTACATATATTACTAATACAAAAATAAAGACTTTATAATTTGATTAGTTAATATTGCAGATAAAAGACAAAAAATCAAGGTTATATTTACTGTTAAATCTTTTTGAATATCGTAATCCTTTACAGTGCATTAGTATTTGTTTGTTAGGAGCATTTATATTAGACATTTTATTTATATCAATTGTGTATCTGGGATCATTTTCAGTAAGAGTAATAGAATTAGAAGAAGATAGAGAATTAGACATTTTTTTTTAAAGATTATACTGAACAATGATAATTTATTGCTAATATTTAAATAAAAATATACATCATTAAATTATGATTAAGAGACAAATGCATCAATTATAAGATCAATATAATGATTAAGGTCAGAACAATTTAATCACAGAGATTGCATGAAAAACTTAATATTACATGTATTTATTAATAATATTAAACTTTTATTATTGATCAATAAACATATTACAGTATAAAGAAATGAAGGTAATCGTGGTTATAAGATTAAGATTAATCTGATATGCTATTTAATTTGTTTATTTTGTATTTTTTATTTTTTTATGGTATTATATTTAATAATTTGAGAATAGTTTTAATATAAAGATTACATTTCGAGTTGAATAATAGATTAAAAAAATAGTATTTTAGATAAAGTGAAAGGATCATGAAATCATGTTTTATATAGATCAATAATTGCAAATGATAATACTCAGCAATCATGATATCTACGAGTTGTTTAAATAAAACATTACCTATAACCATTTTCAATACCATAAGTATTATTATTTTGATTATTATAAATATAAAATATTTTATCATTTTATTTATTTCTATTATCTTAGTATTTATCATTTAAGTAATTAAGACTTATTATTTGATAATAAAAATTTATTAAAAGTTTTATATAATTTACAAGAGGCTAGTTATTGATATACAATTAAGATATTTGTAATTCCTCCTAATAAAATATTTATTTGTTTCTAATAAGAAAATATGATAAATAACTATTTTAGATTTGGTTATTTTATAAAAAAAAACAAATTTATATATCAAATGAATTATATTTTATTAAAACAATAAACAGTTATTCAAAGTTATGTTGAATTTAATTTCAGTATTATTTATATTAAGTTCTTTCAATAATTTTAATTGAGAAGTAGTATTTAATAATGAATTATTTTGAATATCTAGTTCCAACTTTTTTAATAATTTTTCTGCTTCCTTTATATTATTATTTTTTGCTTTATTCAAGTAAAATTTTATATTTTTGAGATTTCTAATCTGATTTAATTCTTCAAAATATATGATTCTTCTTAATATATAAGCTATTTAACTATTATCCAAATCAGCGTCATGTTTAATAAATACAAAAATTTCTTTTTTCACTAATGGATTACTCATTTTACTTTTTTTATTTTGCTCATATAAAGCAAACACATAATTAAACATACTATCTTTGTTATTCTGAATATGTATAGAAAGCATGTAAAAGATATATGATGCATCTTTGTTTATAGAAATACCTTCGAATCCTTTATCATAATATAATCCTATCTAAGCATAATCATCATTCTTTTTAAAATGTTCAAAAGCAGTTCTTCTTAATTTAAGAATTTCTTCTTCATATATTTCTTTGAGTACTTCATTACTATTGCATTCATTAAATAGTCTAGATGCTTTATTATAATAAGAAATAGCTTCACGATATTTTAAATCATTATATGCAGTAACTATTTTGACATTATCCATATCATTAGTTATATAAGAATGATTGCCTGTGATAAGTAAAAATTTTTTGAAAAATTTCTTCCATTTATTATTATATTTATTGTAATTATCGTTAGAGATCTCATTCTTTTTAATAATTAATGATTTTACTTTTTCTAATAATTTAATAGATTTTTCATCATGTTTTTTTGTAGCAAAGATTAAATATTTTATAGTACGTTTTAAATTTTTTTCATAATCAAATATACCAGATGAAAATATTTTCTAAGTTTAAATACAGCATCTGATGATCTATTATTGTAAACTCATAAAAGAAAAGTTTCAAGATCTTTATGTAAAGAGTCTTCATTTGATAAATTATTAAGAGTTTTAAATTTCTTAACTATATAGCTAGCATAACCTAATGAAGCTTCATTATGATTTTGAAGAACTGATGATAGTTGAAAGAATATAAATTCTTTATATTTATCTTTCTTAAGTTCAGCATATTCTTAGCTGTAATAATAGCCTATCTAGTAATAACTATGATTCTTATAAATAATTTCAAAGCCTTTTTTCTTTTAATTATAGATTCTAATTTGTGACTTTTTTTGAGAAGATTAGATACTTCGAGGTGTAATATATATGCTTTATCAAATATCTCTTCTGACTTCAATAGCAATGGTATAATATCTTCATTACTATTTGTAATATTAGGATATAGGTATTTGAGGTCCAAATGTTTATTCTATTATTTGTTTAACTTATTATAACTTATAGAGTTGATATGATAATTTGTTATCTTGTTTAAAAGTTTATTATTTTTCTTTGATCAAATTTAGTATTTATATCTATAAATTTAATACTAGTAATTATTTTGGAGAATATTCTATGATTTACATAGAATAATTCTGTAGAAGTTTTATGTTGTTCTTTCTGTGTATGATTAATCAATAGACAAATTACTAAAACAACAGATATAGTTTCATTGTCATATTAGTATCAATCTGAATTTATACATGCACAACTAGATTGAAACAAAGTAATTTAGAAATATCTATATAAATTTAATAAATAAATCTATATTTATCTCGATAAAATTATATATACTCATAAAGAATTTTGCAAAAAATACATTTGTTTGTATAATAAGACTCATAATAGTAAATTATGTGTGTCTATAATAAAAAAAATTTGCAATCCAATACTTCTCAACTTAGATAATCTATCTAAAAAGAAAATGTATAAATTAGTTAGATATATACAAGCTAATATTCATAATATTCTAACTAGAAAAGAAATAACTATGAAATAGAAGGCATATTATTGTTTTATCAGAGCAGAATCAAGTAATATATGTAATTATTCATTACAAGAATATAAGGAAAGTAAAACCCATAAAGAGTCAACCCCAATTCTATTTATCATAAATGCATCGAAATTGTTATTCAAATATCTATTTATACATATTTTCAATATGAATTGTGTAGATACAATAAAATATGATTTATTATATGATTATGTTTGTCTTAGAATTAAAGTGTTATCAGAATATTTTATTGATAATAATAAAGCAAAGGAACTATTTAATATTTTTGATAAAAACTTTAGTATATTAAGTAGTTATACGATAGATTTTTTAAAAGGAAAATTATTATTTTTATATGATGACCTTTATCTTAACAACAAAATTTCTTTATATAGAAATAATTTTCAATGTAGTATTTATTATAATTTTTCTTCTATTTACTATGAAAGAAATACTCTAGAGAATCTTCATGATGAGTATAAATTCAAGGTTAAATTTTTATTAGGAGAGAGAGAATATCACAAATTTAAGAATAGACATGTAGTTATTTTGATCACAAAAAATTTATGACAAGTATACTAAAAGATCTTGGTATTGATCGTAAAGAAGTTAGTAATATTACTACTGATAAACTAATAAAGTTAATTTTATTGATCAAAGCTAGTCTTCTCAACAAAATGATAAAAAAATCACATTAAAATAAATAAATTTATTAAGAATTTTATTTGAATAGTATGATAGTGTTATGCTTATAATTTTCTATTTCTTTATTTTTCTTTTATTTTATTTTTAGTTTTATTATTTGATTTAGTATTTTTATAG